ATTTGCTTAACCACTTTAAAATGGCTTTTTGGTTGCTTTTAGTCAGAAAACGTAAAGCAAACGACATACATTCAGCAAGATAATATAATTTCACTAATCTGGCCTATCACTTGAAGCAAACATCCATCCCTTCTTAAAAGTCTGTGATAAAAGAGAGCTTCCTGTTGCGCCATTTAATTAAGCCAACTGTTGTAGCCTATATCCAGCATAGGCTATTTAAATTTGTATATATACTGTTTGAATGACAGCTTGGTAAATCTGTTGGCGATCAAATATTCAATATCACTAACGTTACTCATCATAAGTACTTGGTACATTATCAGCGCAGCGGGAGACGTTCAAACTAATATGTAATTTACGTCTCTGTGATGATTGGTTGATATACCAGAAGGGAGGCTAGCCTCCCCTGCGAGGTTTCTTTTCTCAACACTCGATGGTGATTGGCTAATTTTTTTTTTACCAACGGAGGCACGAGAGCTCAGCTCTCCCCCGGCCTTCCCCTACCCTTCTCCATCACCTAGCAGTTGTAAAACATCAGCAGGTTCGGCACATTCGCGATAGAAAAGTGGCGCTTTCCAACTTCAGTAACATGTTATTACAGCTGTGAAATTACAAACAAAAAATACACATTTTGAGACATTAACTGAAATGAATTGTGAATTTTATTAACATTAAATCGTCCTCCTCCCATTTTCACCTCAATATTTTTGGGGAAGCTGTGCCTCCCCCGACGAGCCGCCACTGTATGAAACTAAATTTATATTATTAGCATAACATTTTAAATATCTTTACTGTTATATTTGTCAATTAATATAATGCATCCTTGCTAAGTAAAATATTAATTTTGAAGAAAAAAAAACTAAAGCATATCAGCCCTTCAGTTCCTCCCACCAAAACATACAGTTTCAGCTCAGTAAATACGTCAGTATAGGAAAGAATCATGTGACCCTCAAACGATTTCATGGTGTCTTTAAAGACCCAACCAATCAAAGCCAAATTTAATCATTGACTTTGTTTCCTCAGATCTGATGAAATTATCAATATTGACTCATACTCATATTGTCCCGTGTAGACAGAGGAGCAGACCTTCTCCTTACATTTCCACGGTGATGTAACTTGCACTTTGATACGACTCCTTTACTATCAAGGCTGTAAATCTGAATTATAGCCACATGACCACATATCAGACTTCATAAGAAAAATGCTCACGTCACTTTACACAACTAGGTTTCACACACAAACGCATTTTGAGCCATCCTGGTAGAGACTTAAAAACATAAATAGACAAGCTTGGTTACTTATAGACAATTAATGTTTTCGCTCGATGCTGTATTAGTAAATCATTCTTGGACCTACAGAGAATTGAAGTCTGGACATTAACGGACATCTCAGACATGGATCATGTCTCGGAGAGCCGTAGCTTCTCACCTCCATTTCCAGTTTCTCGCTCCAGCTCACCTGTGTCTCTCAGTGAATCGCTTCATTCTCGCGATTCCTTTGACCTTTCTCGCTGTCACTCTCCGCTCTCACGTGTTGACATCTCGCCAGCCCTAGTGCACCCCGTTGTGGCAGAGCTGAGGGGCCGACCTTCAAGGCACAGTGGCCGACCCCGTTCGGCTGGTGACATTTGGTCTGTATATGCAACTGATGTGGATTTTTCCCAACACAGGAGCATCACAGATCACTCCTGCTTGAAAGTGTACCACAAAGATCCAGCGCACGCCTTCAGTCATGGAGCCCGGCCAAGCAATGGAGACGCAAGGGTGAGTGCCAACCTAGTGTGGACATTTTTGTTAAGACAGAAGGCTTAATGGAGAAATCTTCTCTTTAAAAAATTAGATAACTACAAATGTAGCTTGACTGGATTTGTACTTGGTCCTCATATTGTGAAATGTATAATTGTGATCTAAATACTTCAGACTTTAGAACAGCTCTGGTTGGCTGGTTTTTGTTAAGGATGGGTCTGGATAGTTGACAAGTCACCCAAAAACTGACTTGTGAGGTTCACTAGTCTAGCTACGCTACTGTTTAAAGGTTTGGGGTTAGTAAGATTTTTAAATGTTTTGAAAGAAGTCTTTTATGCTCACCATGGCTGGATTTATTTGATCAATAAAACAGTAATAGTTTTGTTTTCTGTTAAAATGTATTTTAAAATGTAATTTCTTCCTGTGATAGCAAACCTGAATTTTAAGCAACCATTGCTTCAGTGTCACATGATCCCTCAGAAATCATTCCAATATGCTGATTTGGTGCTTAATAAATATTTATTTTTATTATCAGCGCTGAAAACTGTTGTGCTGCTTAATGTTTTTATGGAAACCATTATAAATTTTTTCAAGATTCTTGGATGAATAGAAAGTTCAGAAGAACAGCATTTATTTGAAATAAATCATTCGTAACATAAACGTTCTTACTGTAACTTTTGATCAATGTAATGCATCCTTGCTGAATAAAAGTATATAAAAATATATTTATTATCAATGTAAACAAATTAAAAAATCAAACATTTTTCAGTTTTAATCCTATAAGTGAATTTAGGCGCCAAATATGCCTATATGTGCCTATAATTTGAAATCTGGATATGAATTTTTAGATTTGCTAAAGATTTAACAGTGTTGTTAAATTATTGATGTTTTAAAGATTAACCTAAGCTTAAAAATAGGAGAAATGAGCATGAGCAATTATATGTACAATATCAACTGATAACTATCCAGTATCGATTCATATTCATACCAATAAATAAAAATCCCTAATATCGACCAATGACCAATGTGATTCCGATATATATCATACTTATCAACCATGTGTCTGGTAGACACAACCCTAAACGAGCATAAGTATAGAGTGCCTCCCTACTTGTTCAAACAGACTAACTACTTGATTTTGAAATTATGCTCTTTTGCAAATCCTCTGTAATGCCCACATGTTGCCACTTTTTATTTTTTGGCATGCTCAGAAGAAAGAATGAACTGAGGGCATTATTGAAATAACAGGTCCCTTCTCGGCCTCCAGTCTTCTGTTCGGCCGTCTCCAGGGGTCCCTCTGCTCTTCACAGTTAAGAGTCACCCCCACCCCGGTCACCCCGTTCCAATCCTTTCATGTCCGTCTTTGTCCCCCGGGCCTAATTTCAGGGGGATTGGATCAGGATTGAAGCAGAATTGGTGGAAGCACTGAATAGAAAGCAAAGGCTTTTTCCTCGTTCCTTTTCCTCCCATAATCCCCTCTAATCTCTTGCCATGCCAGCCGTGTTTGTTTGGCGGTGTGATGTAACGGAAATTAGATCGCAAAGCTTTCATTTTCTCTGTGTGTTTCCCCAAATTTACAAGGTAGCCCCAGACTTTTGTCTGTGGTAATCCCCGGTCTGGCTTTGACCAACTCGCACAGCTAATATGCATTTGATTAGAGCTTTAGACGCTGCCATAAGAGCCCTTAAGGGAAGTTGTAGAAGTTCCAGGAAGTGAAGGACTTTACTCACTATATTTTGTTTGATTTTTGTTTTAAGGCTCTTATTAACATTTCATGTCGCTTTCAAGAGTATGCGTGCAAAGTTAGAAGTTGAAAGGCTTATTGTTTGTGTCACATGTCCGTGTCTAAGTGGATTAAAGTATGTTGTGTGATGACTTAAAGTTGTATACGTACACACGAGAGAGAGAGAGAGAGAGAGAGAGAGAAGGAATACAAACGATAGAAACTATTATCTGTTCTCTGACAAGAGAGCGAGAACAAGTTGTACAGATAATTGCCAAAGTTCACATAAACAGTGTCAGCGTTTGTTATTATGGCAGTTTAAAGAGAAGTCAAGATAGATTAAAAGTACAGCTCTTTTATATGGCATTATGACTAAGCTTTGTATGTTAGTCACACAAATGTGTGACTGTGCAAGTGTTTGGTGTTGGGTTGTCCTCTAGTTTAGGTTAGGTGTTGGGGGTAACGCATTACAAGTAACGCGAGTTTAGTAATCAGATTACTTTTTTCAAGTATCTAGTAAAGTAACGCATTACTTTTTAATTTACAAGAGAATATCTGAGTTACTTTTTTTCCAATTTATTGACTGACAGCTCTCCTGTCCCCAGTGTGTTGACATTTCTTCTTCTGCATTCTACTGTACGGACGTAAATTTACTTTCCCTTCAGCCTGAGGCTTATTCATTTCACTTTTGGTGTGAAAAGGCTTTTATATTTGCCAAAAATAGAACTTTTTTATTTTAAAAACAAACAAGCAAGCCCTGTCCAGATTTAAAAAGTAACGCAAAAGTAACGTAAAGCATTACTTTCCATAAAAAGTAACCAAGTAACGTAATTAGTTACTTTTTATGGAGTAACGCAATATTACTTTTAAAAGTAACTTTCCCCAACACTGATAGTAACACATGTAACAAGTCAAGAAAACTATAATCAGCAAGAAACTGTAACAGACTTTACAACAGAGCTGTGTTGGGGTTCCTGATTACTATAAATCCTGTTCCACCATCAAGAGGTTATTGCATAACAGCTATCAAGGCTTCAAGTTCTTTGTGCAAGTTCTCGCATGCTTTACCATGTGACCGACACGGATCATAGGTTTGACGCCCAGCTCATATAGTGTGTCTGTATAAACACAGCAGCCACTTTGCACGAATAGGATGTCAAATAAGACCTGAAGAATTTAATATATGTATATTTGCAAAAAATTATTAGTGAAATAAGGTGTTTAACTGTCAGAAAATAATTAACAATTTTGGAGACTGCTGTTTTTGCAAAATTTGAGATGTCTAAATGCATCAGTATATTATTTCAGTAGAGTATGTGAAGACAAATGACACTTTTGTGTGATTTTAATAATCGGATTATTAAGGTCAAGACTGAAGCAGGTGATTAATGCATTAAAGACTATACTTTTCAGACAATGTAGATAGCAGTTAAATAATAGTTCTTAAAACATTTTAAAGCATTGTATTTTGCGCCTCTAATGCTGTAATGTGACACCAAAGTTTACTATATTTATGGAATTATTTGTTTGTAGGTATATGCTGGTCTGTATATGTATCAGAGTGATGTTATATGATCTGAATATCTTGAAATTTGACAGTGCATATGACTTTAATCTCTCGTCATCCAATTAAAAAGCAGGAAATCCAAAACGTAGCACTTTCATGCCACATGAGAGTCATTCCTCTCTTTCTATCTTCCCCCTCTATTGAAAAAGGAAACATTTGATATCAACACACAGCAGTGGATGTTCAAAAACAATGGTCATTGTGTGCATGAAAACTGAACGTAAATCAATATGCCAATGAAAACTTTTTTATAACATATTTGTTGTATCAACATAATTGTTGATATGTAAAATAAGACACGCGGTTAATGGTTTATTGACTCATCTTTGTCAGGCATGACAGGCTAAATGACATATTGTATAAATATGGAAATAAATCCGGTAGGGAGGATTGCCTGCAAATCTCCTAGTCTAATTGTGTTTGGTTCAGTAATTCAAATAAGTCGAGCTTGATTTGAAGCCAGAACACACATATGATGAAGACCATGTTCAACACACACGCTGATGTTTTGACCACAGTTGTTGCTATTGGAACTGTCAGGGGACAAGAGATCCATTATGCTTTCTTCCAGAGCTTATATTGAAGTACACTTACACACACATGTGAATAAGGCTAAGCAAACACACACATACACAGAAACACATGATCAGGCCTTCTCAGTTCAAGCAGGCATGGAGATAGTCAGACAGGTTTAACAGACTAATGAAATAAGCCCTGCACCTGTTCAAACACACTATTTCTGTGTGTGTCTGTGTCAAAGAGGCTTGATCATTGTTGTAACTTCCTGTTGAAACTTTAGGCCAAAAATATACAGTGAATGAACTGCAGCAGTTCCTTTACCTTTATAATAAACTGAATAAAAGAAAAAGTCACATGATGAATCAAAGTTCATCACAAGTAGCTTTTCCACAAGTTGAGATAAATATAAATACAAATATATATATATATACTGTATATATATATATATATATATATACTGTATATATATATAGTGTAAAATTTCATTCACACAAATACAAAACGGCATCATGGGAACACAAATGACACTAAGATAATGCAATAAACATTAACTTAACAATATTAGATGTAACGTACACTCATAGGGTGTACAAATAAAGGTGCTTCACGATGCCATAGAAGATCCTTTTTGTCTAAGTGGTTCCATAAAGAACCTTTAACATCTGAAGAACCTTTCTGTTTCACAAAAGGTTCTTTGTGGCGAAAGAAGGTTCTTCAGATTATAAAAAGGTCAGAAAGAGATGGTTCTTAAAGCCTTTTAAGCACCTTTATTTTAAGAGTGTAAAACCCTAATGTACATAAGTGGTCATCAAATGTGAAGTGTTACACAGAATTCTGGGTCAAAATTTTTCAGTTTATGGTTTTCCACTGTTAATTATAAGATGCCATGGTAAATTTAACAGTATTTTACTGTAGAACTGCATGAAATGTCACATAACTGAATAAAAGAAAAAGTCACATGATGAATCAAAGTTCATCACAAGTAGCTTTTCCACAAGTTGAGATAAATATAAATACAAATATATATATATACTATATATATATATATACTGTATATATATATAGTGTAAAATTTCATTCACACAAATACAAAACGGCATCATGGGAACACAAATGACACTAAGATAATGCAATAAACATTAACTTAACAATATTAGATGTAACGTACACTCATAGGGTGTACAAATAAAGGTGCTTCACGATGCCATAGAAGATCCTTTTTGTCTAAGTGGTTCCATAAAGAACCTTTAACATCTGAAGAACCTTTCTGTTTCACAAAAGGTTCTTTGTGGCGAAAGAAGGTTCTTCAGATTATAAAAAGGTCAGAAAGAGATGGTTCTTAAAGCCTTTTAAGCACCTTTATTTTAAGAGTGTAAAACCCTAATGTACATAAGTGGTCATCAAATGTGAAGTGTTACACAGAGAATTCTGGGTCAAAATTTGTCAGTTTATGGTTTTCCACTGTTAATTATAAGATGCCATGGTAAATTTAACAGTATTTTACTGTAGAACTGCATGAAATGTCACATTAGATATATTATAGCTTTTCACCATATAGTAAGGAAACTTACCATTAACCAATTTCTTACTGCAACAGTTTTATAGTCTTCTACCAGTAAAATTCAAAGATCATTTGAATGTGTAATTTTATGTAACACAAGTGTCTGTGTGTCCAGCCGTTAATTTAATTAAAGTGATTTAATGAGATTGTTTTAACAGTAGTGCACATATCCAGATCTGAATCTCTGTATCCGTACCTACACACACACACACACACACACACACACGCGTCTAAGCTCATACGCATGCAGCTGTGTGTGTCTCAGTGCCAGTCTGTTAAAACAGCAAGCGGATTATTGTGCAGCGTGACTGACCACAGTTTACAGACGACAGTTAATTTGAAACAGACCCATAAAAACCAATGCAGTCTGCTAAATTCTGCATGAACATATGGTCAGACTAGTCTCTTTTGACCGTCTGCATGAAGTTTGGTCCAATTTGCAGAACATTCTGGCCAAAAACTGCCTAAAGTTTTGTATTTCGGCATCCAAGATGTTTTTTGGGCAATCTAAAATCGATCATCTCACAGGTCTGTGTCAAGAATAATGGCATCTTTTTCCTACACTTAAACTTTCCGGTTGTAGGTTTTAATAAGGCCTTGTGGCCATTTATCTAAGAAAGAGAAAGCAAGAGGAGCAGAAAATGAGGGGAAAAGGGGGCATAAGAATTCGTCTTTAATCCCTCTTGGGCCAAATTCAAACCAAATGTTCTCATTCCGTCATCTTTTGATTTCTTTTATTTATCACAGGTTTAATGTTTCATGTCAGCCTTCCTCCAGCAAATTCTCTACCTTTTAAGGTAATGCACAGAGAAAACAAAGAGATGAGAACCTGGAGAGGTTGAGACAGGCAAGAACTTTCATGTTATTCAGACAATGTTGCTCAGGTAACATCTGGAGGTGATTTTTATGCCTTCCACTGTATCAAACTCCAACAAATCTGCATTCTGCTCTCTATACATATTATATTGTGCACGTTAATTGTAATAAGCCAGTGCTCCACTAGTGCTAAAACTTTTCACAGTACTGTAGATTTGCAGGTAGGTCTCTTGAAGCATTTTGGAGATGTTGCCACAGTTCCTCTGGATTTAGTCTGTCTCAAGTTTCTTCATGTCATCGCAAGCAGACTGGATGATGATGAGATCAGATCTCTGTGTGGAGCACTGACTGTTGTCGGATTTGTGCATACAAAAATCTCACTGGGTTATTACAATTAATGGTAAAAGGAATGTTGGGAAATGTAAATTGATATTTCCTACTGACACACTACAGCAAAAGATAGAAATAACTCATTTAAAAACCTTTTTTCGAAAATGCTAATTGCCTAAGACTTTTGCACAGTACTCTGCATATATATAGTTTTTACAAAAATATTAAGCTGCACAACTGTTTTCAACATTGACCACCAAAATCAGCATATTGGAATGGTTTCTGAAGGATCATATGACACTGGAGAGACGTATAGCTGCAGAGAAAATTACATTTAATACATGACTTTTTAAAATATGTTGCATTAGAAAACGGTTATTTGAAATTGTTGTATTTCATAATATTAATGTTGATAATGTATTTTTGCTCAGATAAAGGCAGTCTTGGTGGACATAATACTAGATAGGTGGCAGGAAATGCAGAAAATGAGATTTAATATTTTGGTAAAGTGGTAAGTGAATTGCATATTTACTCATAGGATTCACCACCATGGTGATATGATGTTGCAAAATATCACGCTGGTGTCCTGAGGCACATAAAGACTTGGAAGTCTCACCTGTTCTGGGTGTAGCCTGAACGCTGACTCACCCCCAGATCAATGATTTCATTGTTTGAGATTCAGAGAAGCAGGGCAATACTTCGAACTAAGGAACATCATTCTGTCGTCTTTCTATTATTTTACAAAGCTCTTTGGCTTAAAGGCGCGTTCTTGTCTGTTTTTTCTCTATGTCTCTGCTTTGTTTGTTTTCTATTTTTGGATGATGCAGACATATTCAGAAAAGAAATGCTTTGCTGTCTGTGGCTGTAAAACATCAGCTCCAGTGGTGCATATGGATAAGCGCTTGTCATTGGCTTTATGACGTGATCGACCTGGGTTCGATCCCACCTTTTTTTCTGAATTGTTATTTTGTTTTTTAGACTTGCATTTGCGTTTGTAATTTGTTATTTTGTTTTCAGAATTGTGATTTGCTTCGCACTTCTCGGTCACCGTACAGCTGCCTTCTAAGGTGTATTCTAATTAAAACGGAACCTGATTTGATTTGGTTCTATTGCTTTAAATGAGTTACTGGTTTAAAAAAAGGCTTTGTGCTAAATGAAATTGGGCCCGAGGTGATGGAAAAGTCTCAATGACTGTTTTATTTTTCTGTCATTTTTAGGTACCGAAATAGAACACGTTTAGTTTCACTCTAAACCAGTTTTTCTCTGAATTCTGTTCATCTGTCAAGTCATATGGTTTTTCCTGTTGCTCCTCATTGCTGAGTTTGGAGCCAGATACATCTGAGTTTGTCTGTCTAGTATCCTCAGGCGTGAAGTTCTGCATTCTGAAGTGCACTGATCGGAAATCTTTCATCCGCTCAGGTCATATCTGAACTCTCAGAGGCTTATTCTTTTATTTTTTGTTGCATGCAGTTATCAGATGCAGATACAACTTTTTAAGTGGTCTTAATGGTTGTATGTTGTTGTTTTTTTCCTGTCTCCATCTGTTATGTTTACTGCTTGTTATTTCTGAATGACATGGCAGTTTATCTGCAGCTTATCATTTGTTTTTAGTAGATTGTGGTTATCCAGGAGCATCGCTTTATGGATGCAGACTCTGTTTAAAGCAATACTATATCCACTTGTGCCTTTTAATTACATTGTGGGATGTATATGAACCATGACCACCTATGTCTCAGTGCACACACGCACATACTTGCACAGTTTTTCCAAAATATGAGCTTCCATCTGAAGCGTGTTAGTGTGATTAGTCTACTCTGGGGGACCTTCTTGGGTGGTCAAGTCAGATCAGGCTGCCCATGTGTGCTGCCTGTTTAAAAACCAGCATAGATTACAGGTGCTCTGAATTTAGATGGAACACAATGACATATTATTTGATCCAAGCAGAAGGGGGGGTTTTAACCATGAATACCATGATCAGTCAGTGTTTCTTTCTTTGACTTCTTTCAGCCCTTTCATTTCACATGTGAGATGGAAATGTAACACCTCTTTCTCACTGTGATGAATGAACAGAAAAGCCTTTAGACTAAACTAGAGCATTGAAGGTCACATGGACCTCATTTTTGTGTGTATTCGTCAGTTTTGTTATTGTTAATTGAAAAACTAAAACTGTTAGAAAATAATTTGTGCTTATTGATATAAAGCTGAAATTAAATCTAAATATTAGATGAAAAACAGAAAAACTTAAATGAAAATGAGAAATGTTGCCCTGTCAACTTTCCGAAGTTAGAAAAGTTTAGAGAAGTACTGAGATTACCAAAACTGAAATAAAAACAAATTTAAGCTAAATAGAAATATAAAAAAACAAAAGCTAAAAAAGTCAAAAGCAAATAACAAAATTGTTCAAATTAAAATGAAAATGAAAACTGAACTTTTTAAAATAAAATAACTCAAAATCTTATTAACTCAAAATATTAGTAAATACTATAACAGCATATAAATAATACTAAAATAACAATGGTATTACTATTTATGTTTAACATGCAAAGTGTAATTTTGGAGTATTTAAGTATTTTTAGTGAGTTTTATTCTCTATTTTTAGAGATAACATTATGGTTATAAATGTAGAAATATATAAAAATATATTGTTTTAATGTGATATCAGCAAGTATTTTTTGAGATTTCAATGGATAATTTTATTTTATTTTATTTTATTTTTGCTGCATAAGCCACTTACCAAATACAGGCCATGTTACCAAATACAATGAACTTTTTCTGTTCACATCACATATTTCAATACGTTGTGTAATTCAAAAATATCTTTTTTTTAAATATCCTAAACCAGGCTTAAGCTGGCTAAAAGACCAACTATGACCAGCAAACCAGTTTAGACTGGTTTATAAACTGTTTTAATTCAGCTGGATTTCTTATGTTTGAAATATTTTCTCTCTTTTCATGTGAAACCTTATGTCCTTTTCTCTCTCATTCAGGTTCACAGGGAGATGATGTATGCTGGACCGAGTGGTCATCCTCTCCGGCAGCCCCCGATGGGTCCTCCTCCACCCCATATGCAGGGCTCCATGTCCCTTACCACACCTCATGCGATGCCCCCCTCCCCATCCCGTATCCCCTTCGGCCCACGCACCTCAGGCGGTGGGGTTGCCACGATGCCACGTGAACGAGCAGGACACACACTCCCCGCCCCCGCTCGCGCATCCTCCCCCTGCCCGAGCGCTATCCTCGAGCGGCGCGACGTCAAACCTGACGAGGACGTAGATGCAAAGAGCATGTCGCTGCCCGCCCGAGCCGAAAGCCATTATGCTGACCCCTATATGTTACATCACCATGCCCCGCCCTCGGACACAGTAGACCACGCCTACCACCGTGCTACCATGCGCTCTTACAGTAACCCCGGCGTTCCCATAGAGCCCACGGACCATCCTTCGCTCTTCCGACAGAAAAGCAGGAAGTACACAGATAGCCAGCTACCCATGCTAGGCTCCAAAACCCCGCCCCCTTCCCCACACCGGATGGGCGAGATGCGAGTGATGGACATTCACACAGTCCAACCGCAGAGTTCCATGACTCTTGAAAGGGCATCACCTATCAGACAATCATTTAGGAAGGAGGCTCCTCTTGCTATGGATTCCATGGTAAATGCAAGGGGTGGCATGGGGTCCCCGGCAACCCCTGATCTTCAGGTTCACAATCCTCTTGCCCCCTCAACAGACCCTCAGACACGGTAAGTCATCATTAAGTGTAAACGAGAATATTGAAGCATGAAAATAATTAACTTTCCATCTACAACATCCCAGTATACATCAGCATCCGTGATATGTTCATATTCTAACTCTGCACCAGTTTATTGTCTTCCACTGCATCATGGCATTCCTTAACTGCATCCAAAACACATCAACAATGTCTTGTCTAAGTACTAGCAGCTATTATTGGATGTGCGTGTTAACATTTAAATGGAAATTTGTAACCAACTTGTCGATTACTCTAACAAACATCCAAAAGAGAGTCAAAAAACAGTTTGTACATAGTAAATGACCATTGTAGTAAATTATAAATAAACATAAGTGTTCACTTAATCAACATTAGCAAATATAGACATATACTGTATATTAAAAGTAACTGAATCAATAGGCAGTGCAGTACCAACAAGTAGAAGCTCAATAGCCGATTATAAGCAAGTATGTTTCATTTATAATGTTTACCCTTTAAACTGGTATCAAATGTTGTACTGTTATTGTCCCTCATAACTGGTGGTATAAAAATATCCCTTTATCCCTAGTTATGTTCACGTAAATTTTTTAGGGTTGATAATCTGTTTAGCTCGGTTTGCTTTCAAGAATAAAGCTTTACGTAACTCAGAAAAAGACTTTGAACTGTAATTCAGTCAGCTTTGTTTTACTGTGCTGGTTAAGTGGACTTAATCGTACCCTTTATGTGTGTCTGTGCCTTGTAAGTCAGATTTATTGTGCTTGGCGATGTACTCACTGGCTGAGAACAGTCAATACAGAGAGTCAACATGCTAAACTGTTTTTAAAGGGCAGAGCACATGCAGGCCAGACGTTTCTAACATTATCTTGTAGAGCAAAGAAATAGTTGTTTGGTGTGTGTATTGGCACAGAAAGGGCAAATGGGCAGTTTAGCATTTAAAAAAAAAGACTTTAGTTAATCATCATTTGAAAAGTTAATGTTTTTGATTTATTGTGTTTTTTTGTATATGCTAAGAGGCAGGAGTCCAGATCATACTCCCTTTCGCTTAATGCTTTTTGTAGATAGGATTGACCTTAAATCAAGGAAGTGTTTTATAATTTAAATGTGGTTAATATGTTGCCAAGAGATTTTTCTTCTTTTTACTTCAAGTAGTTTTTTTCTGTGCAGTTTCACATAAAATTCCCACGGCAGCATACGTTTAAAAATTTGGGGTTGGTAAGATTTTTTAAATGTTTTTGAAAAGTCTTATGCTCAACAAATGTTCAGTAAAAACAGTGATATTTTAAAATATTATTACAATTTAAAAATACTGCTTTCTCTTTGTATATATATATTTAAAATGTAATTTATTTCTTTGATGATGAAGCTGAATTTTCAGCAGTCATTACTCCAGTCTTCAGTGTCACATGATCTCTCAGAAATCATTCTAATTTGCTGATTTGTGGCTCTAGAAACATTTCTTAATATTATCAATTCTGAAAACCATTGTGTTGCTGAATACTTTTGTGGAAACTTTTTTGTTGTTGTTTCAGAATTTTTTTTGATGAATAAAAAGTACTAGTGCTGTCAAACGAATAATCGCGATTAATCGCATCCGAAATAAAAGTTTTTGTTTACATAATATATGTCTGTGTGCTGTGAATATTTATTGTGTATATATAAATACACACACATACAGTATGTATTTTAAAAATATTTATATGTATTTACGTGTATATATTTATATTAATATAATTTATAATATATATAAATCTTTTTAATATATAAACATAAAATATTTTCCTGAAATATATACATGCATGTGTGTGTATTTATATGTATACATAATAAATATACAGAGCACACACATACTGTATATTATGTAAACAAAAACTTTTATTTTGGATGCGATTAATCGCGATTAATCGTTTGACAGCACTAAAAACAACAGGAAAGAGCTGAATTTATTTGAAACAGAAGTCATAATAAAATGTCTTTACTGTCACTTTTAATCAGTTTAATGCAATCTTGCTGAATGAACATATTCATTTCTCACTTATTCATAAATAAATAAATATTTTTACTGACCCTAAACTTTTAAATGAGAGTGTGTTTAAAAACGACACTGTAAGTGATAAAGCAAGTATTCCACTTGGTAAATTTTATTAAAAATTTCTGTTTAAGCGTTAAAGTACAAGAGACTGTGCTTTATTGTAAATATGCACTGATAGTAAAATTTAGGCTGATGCCAGTGAGCTGATAATTATTTTATATATTATAATTTTTGTGTAAATACATTAAAACTAAACACTCAAATCAATTGTTAAAGGCTACAAGTGAATTCAGACATCACAACATTTTAATGTACATTATGATAAATTGATATTTTAGCCAAAATGCTATATTAACCAGTTAGTATATCTGTCTTTTTATTAATGATGAATGAGTAAAATGATACTCATAGATAACTGAGCCATCTTAGGAGGTACACAGTCCTACTGTTATTTCAATTTTCCCCCTCACCCGTCTCCACACATGCTCCATCAGTAGTAAGCATGCAATATGCTCTATCTCTCTGCAGAGAGAGAATGAAGGCCATGGAGGAGCAAATAGCCAGTCTGACTGGTCTTGTGCAGCATGCTCTCTTAAAGAGCCACAGCACTAACAGCAACCAGGAACACCCCAGGTAAGCAAGGCAGGCTGGGTAATGTAGTTCCCAGAATATCAAATTGTTTCCCAAATCAAATAAGAAAGGCAAAAGGAGGAATATGGTGGATTAAAGGTGGTGGTAATCAGACACTGGGTGTTTGAAAAAGACTTGGTGGGTTCTATGACTACTGACTGTGCATGAACTAAATTAACTCATTCTCACAGTAACTGGTGCCTTTACGAATGGCAGTGCTTGTGCCACCATAACACAGACTAACTGCAAGTGTTTGTAGAGTGATTTTGTCTGTGTGTGTATACATGTGCATATGTGCATTCAGTCATTTTATATCTCTTGCATTTTTCCAGTGAGAAACCAGTAAAGTCCGGATCACCGGCTCACAGCACATCTAGCACAGGTAAATTTCTTCTTACCATTGCTTCCAGACCTCATCTGGTTGTTTCTAGTGGTCAACATACATGCTTATCTTTTATTAGTAATATAAGGCAAATTCTGTAATACTCTCTCACCTACCATCAACATTCAGCAAATACACATTTATATAATTTAAACAAGTCTTTGAATATCTCATAAACATTTAATTTTACAAACTTTGGGGAATGCAGCAGTGTAAACTTCAGAAGTGTGCATTTGTAGACATCATAAAAATTTTTGTACTATCAAACTTTAAATTCTTGGTTTCAAACTATGCTGCATTATATTCAGATGGCCACTGTCATATTCATGTCATATTCACTGTGTAATGTATGCAAAATTAGCACATTATTAAAAAAATATGATTCCTAGTGCTCACAGACTTGCCAGATTACTGACTGCCCTTAGTGTTTACATTGTTTACTTTCTTTTTATTCATATTTTTTATGTGTAAAAAAAATACTAATAGTATTACAGAATCAAGAAGTTGCCATCTGAAGTATGAATCTGTTTATTTGTGTTATTTTCATATATTTTTAAATAAAGCAATTGTTATACATGTGTTTTTACTACATTTAAATTAAATAGTGTGATATATACATTGGTTTTATATCGGCCAGCCTGCTCTCTAAGATGCTGGCATTGGCCATAAAAAAAACAACATTGGTCGACCACTGTGTGTTTGTGTGTGTGTGTGTGTGT